GAGCCCCGCGTCGGGCTCTGGGCTGACAGCTCGGAGCCTGGAGCCTGCCTCGGATTCTGTGTCTCCCTCTCTCTCTGCCCCTCCCCCACTCTCACTTTGTCTCACTCTGTCTCTTAAAAATAAATAAATGTAAAAATAAAATTAAAAAAAATTTTTTTTTAAATGCGACAAGCAATAATTCTTTCCTGTTCCGCCAGGGGCTGATTTATAATGAATCGACCAGTTACCTTCTCTTAATTCTTTAATCTTCAATTTCCCTGGTTCTTGGTTTAAAACAGTTGCCACAGCAAACGGATTTGATAAATCCACTGGAAATCTCAAGTCATGATATTCAATTTCCTGAGACCAAATCAGGAAGGAAAAGTCACTTATCTTGCTTCTCTATCATTCCTTCCAGCGTGTTGAGTGTAATGCGCACGTTACCTTAATCTTTGGGGGCTTTATTTTTGGTGGCAGGCGGTGAAAATTTATGTGTGTCATTGCCTTTTCTGGAGGAACATCCACTCTCTTAGAAAGAGCATTTAATCTTTCAAATTCTTCTAATCTATAGTTTAAAACAGGTATTAAATTAGTATATGATCCAACAATGCAAGGTTCCTATTTTTTTTAATTTTTTTTAACGTTTATTTATTTTTGAGACAGAGAGAGACAGAGCATGAACGGGGGAGGGGCAGAGAGAGGGAGACACAGAATCTGAAACAGGCTCCAGGCTCTGAGCTGTCAGCACAGAGCCCGACGCGGGCCTCGAACTCACGGACCGTGAGATCGTGACCTGAGCCGAAGTCGGACGCTTAACCTACTGAGCCACCCAGGGACCCCAAGGTTCCTATTTTTTAAAGGATTTTTTTAGGTAATCACTACATCCAATGTGGGGGCTCAGATTTACAACCCCGAGATCAGGAGTCACATGCTCTACTGACTGAGTCAGCCAGGTGCCCCACAAGCTTTCTATTTTTAATGTTCCTTCTGGTAATACCATGGCTTTTGGTCAATTAATGACTATATCTGCACTGAAAATAAATTTATGTGCTAAAACAGTGGTCTACTAGGACGCCTGGCTGGCTCAGTCGGTAGGGCACGGAACTCTTGATCTCAGGGTCGGGAGTTCAAGCCCCACGTTGGGCGTGAAGCCTACTGAAAGAAAGGAAGAAAGAAAGAAAGAAAGAAAGAAAGAAAGAAAGAAAGAAAGCAAGCTTTATATTAAAAAAAAAGTAAAACAGTGGTCTACTAAAATAAATGCAATATCAGTATACCAGCGTATAATCATATGTGTCAAAACAGTCTACCAATGGGTGCTTTTCTTTACCTTCTCGAAGAATATAACAAGAGGACAATGTGACACACTGAAAAATGCTCTCACAGTCTAGTGTGATTCATTTCTAGGCTGTTGGTTTTCAACAGCTAAATCTACTACACTAAAAAAAAATCTTATACTGATTTATCTTCCTAGTAAAAGAATGATTATGGCCACTGTTTACAGTAAGTTTTTTTTTTTTTTAGAAAGATAAAGTGCACTTGTACACACACACACACACACGTGTACGTGAGGGGGAGGGGCAGAGGGTGGGAGAGAGAAGAGAATCTCAAGCAAGCTCCACGCTCCGCTTGGAGCCCAACGTGGGGCTTGATCCCAGGACCCTGGGATCATGACCTGAGCCAAAATCGAGAGTCAGATTCTCAATCAACTGAGTCACCCAGGCACTGCCAGGAAGATCTTTTAAAAAGCAACTCGGACTAATATTTGAGATCTTTTCTGCAACTGAAAACTGTCTTGGACATATGTAGGTATAGGCAGTGCTATTACCGTGCCTACAGAAGCTACCGGACTTATTTATTACGAGATGTAGTAGAACTGCGTCACGTTCAATACTGTGAGGCATTTCTTCAAGCTATAATATGTGAACACTTGTTTTGCAAAATGACTTATGTTCATGATATTACAGAAAAAGGAATACCCTAACGTTTACTCATTCTTAATTTTTTTTAATGTTTATTTTTTTGAAAGAGAGAGATGGAGCACGAGCGGGGGGGGGTGGTGCAGAGAGCGAGGGAGACACGGAATCCGAAGCAGGCTCCAGGCTCTGAGCTGTCAGCACAGAGCCCGACGCGGGGCTCGAACCCACGAACTGTGAGATTATGACCTGAGCCGAAGTTGGACGCTTAATGGACAGAGCCACCCAGGCACCCCTAACGTTTATTCACTCTGACAATCACAATACACATGCTGAACCCCTACCCCCACTGCACAACATGGGACACACCAGCAATCTCAAACTTAACATTGCCTACATAAGAGTATCTTGAAAGGTCGATAGCCTGAGAGAACATGCCCTTTGGCAAGACACACACTGACTGATGGGCTGCGACGTGCAGGGCAGAGGCAGTGGGTCAGGGGGCGAGCTGTGGCCCAGTGTCCACATCTCATCAGAGCGTTGACACCACCTCTGCTATAAATATTGGGAAACATTTTTGTTTCCACATCTTTGAAGGCGTGGAAAAACAGTCTCCTCACGCAATCTAACGGCTGACGATGGAAACAAAGGGGTCGAAGAAAATGGTAAATTTTATCAAGGAGTTACTCGGGGAACTTGAGGAATTCCATCATACACCATATTCTGCAATGACAAAAACCAAACAAGACCCAGCAACCTATGAATCTTTCAGAGAACACTGAGGCCAGGATAATTTTCTTCCTTCATGGTGGAATTTATATGTTCTAGTACTATCTACAGTCTGGGGAGATACGTAGGTCTTGAGGCACAGTCCTTGAAAACATCAACAGTGTACTAAATGAGACATTAAATTCCAGCTGGGTGACCAAAACATGGTAGTTTAAAAACAGGGTATGTCTGCATTTGCATGGTGCTTCTACCATACAACGCCCTCGTATATTTAAGAACATGTCTTGGGGGGGGCTCAGTCCGTTAAGCGTCCAACTTTGGCTCAGGTCACGATCTCGCGGTCCGTGAGTTCGAGCCCCGCGTCGGGCTCTGTGCTGACCGCTCGGAGCCTGGAGCCTGTTTTGGATTCTGTGTCTCCCTCTCTCTCTCTGACCCTCTCCCTGTTCATGCTCTGTCTCTCTCTGTCTCAAAAATAAATAAACGTTAAAAAAAAATTAAAAAAAAAAAAAGAAGAACACGTCTTGGGAAGCAACAATCCACTCAAGTGAGGTCTTTACGAAAGCCATTTGCACATCACAGCATACGACATGAGCCAGCAAATAGCATTTTGTGTGGCCAGTTACCTAATACCAGAAAAATTACTACGGTCTTTCCCTCATATCCAATGCTACTTGCTCATTGCCAGGATGATTTTATTTCTACCGTGGTTACTTGCGGGATTCGGGTTCAGCAGGCCACGCTAACATCCTACAGTTGATTTAGTCTGCTTTGAATTTTTAGGAAGAAAGTCATGACATAAATATATAATCATGGAGTTCGTTCATATTTTGATATGGGGGTGTTACTCTACTTTCAATATGCTTAATGATGTCAACGTGGGATGTGTATCTCTATGTGAAAAGGAAACTCCAGATATTTCTTTATCCTTTTCTTTTTTTAAATTTTTTTTTTCAACGTTTATTTATTTTTGGGACAGAGAGAGACAGAGCATGAACGGGGGAGGGGCAGAGAGAGAGGGAGACACAGAATTGGAAACAGGCTCCAGGCTCCGAGCCATCAGCCCAGAGCCCGACGCGGGGCTCGAACTCACGGACCGCGAGATCGTGACCTGGTTGAAGTCGGACGCTTAACCGACTGCGCCACCCAGGCGCCCCTCTTTATCCTTTTCAAAACATCTGTAAGGGTTTTCCTTATGCTGTGACAAGTTTTCCTTTAGCTTTTATACAAATCACGCGTGTTAGGAAAAATGTGTAACTTTAACCAGATATATTGGGATATAAAAATACACGCTCACAGTCAAATAGAAATCGAAGTTCAGAAAAAATTTGTTACAAAGTAAAACTGAATCTCATTTCACACCTTTACTCTGTGAATGCTGATGAGTTAAAAAAAAAAAAAAACCTCCCATGTGGCACATTTTCATGTTTGCCTTATGTTGAAGTCACTTGTTATACCTGACTTCTTTTAGCTCCTCTGCTGTGAGTGTCTTCAGAGTGTAGACTGTGTCCCATAGGGCTTTGCAATGGACACTGCGCACAGCAGGCACTCAACTAATTATAACATTATATTGAGGCACCTGGGTGGCTCAGTCGGCGTCCAACTTTGGCTCAGGTCATGATTTCACAGTTCATGAGTTCAAGCCCCACGTCGGGCTCTGTGCTGACAGCTTAGAGCTGGAGCCTGCTTTGGATTCTGTGTCTCCCTTTCTCTCTGTTCCTCCTCCTCCTTGTGACCCTCCCCCACTTGTGTTCTTTTTCTCTCTCAAAAATAAATAAACATTAAGAAAAATGATGTCATGTTGAAAATTTGAAAATAGTTATGCTGTTCCTGTCTTATGATTTACATTTAAAATAGAGTGTAGGGGGGCGCCTGGGTGGCTCAGTTGGTTAAAGCGTCCGACTTCAGCTCAGGTCACGATCTCGTGGTCCGTGAGTTCGAGCCCCGCGTCGGGCCCTGGGCTGATGGCTCAGAGCCTGGAGCCTGCTTCCGATTCTGTGTCTCCCTCTCTCTCTGCCCCTGCCCCGTTCATGCTCTGTCTCTCTCTGTCTCAAAAATAAATAAAAAAAAGAAACGTTAAAAAAAAATTTAAAATAGAGTGTAGGGGCACCTGGGTGGCTCAGTCAAACATCTGACTTTGGCTCAGGTCACGAGCTCACAGTGTGGGAGTTCAAGCCCTGCATCGGGCTCTACACTCATAGCTCAGAGCCTACTTGGGATTCTCTCTCAATCCCTCCCTCTCTGTCCCTCCCCCACTCTCTCTCTCAATAAATAAATAAACTTAAAAAAAAATAAAATAGAGTGTAATACATACATACGATCATGTATGTAATGTGTAATGTACATACATGAAATACATGCATAAGGTCAAAACTCAACCAGCCCAGCAGTAGTAATCAGTAAAAGCAAGTATCCCTCAAACCACCTTTTCTTGGTCATCTCTTCCCCTCTCAGTAGGAACAACTACCGCTACAAGCCTAGAGCTATTCTGTGCATTATTATTTATTTTTTCAATTTTTTTTTAACGTTTATTTATTTTTGAGACAGAGAGAGACAGAGCATGAACGGGGGAGGGTCAGAGAAAGAGGGAGACACAGAATCGGAAACAGGCTCCAGGCTATGAGCCGTCAGCACAAAGCCCGACGCAGGGCTCGAACGCACATACCGCGAGATCGTGACCTGAGCCGAAGTCGGACGCTTAACCGACTGAGCCACCCAGGCGCCCCATATTTTAAAGAGTATTTTATGAAAGCTCATCATCTTACGTACGGTTGTAATGGCATTCTGCTACAAGAAAGAAAGAATGGGAAGAAATGGCGACTTAGGAATTACTTTAAACAAATTTTAGGAAGAAACAAAAGACATTCCAAAGCAGCCATACGGTAAAGCCACGTTGGGACAGCATGTTCCGGTGAAGACACATTCGTATGGTTGAGAGTTGAACTGTGAGATCCATAGCTGCATTTTTATTTGCGCAATCCCATAGTGAAATGGTGTGAACTTCACGGTCACATTCATCTTCCCGTTAGCCGGGATTAGTCCTGAGGGGAAAGAAAAGAGACGATTCTTTCTTGTCTTGCGAAGTCCAGTCAAAGAGGCTGATACACACACAAACATGTTCTTCCCATGGTAAGTACAAGTATTTCCATGCTCTTTTCATTAAATCCATGTGAACCGACTTCTACATGTTTACACTGATCTTATTTACCAACTGCTATGTTAATCCTTCATAATAATTGACTGTCACTTATATAGATATATGTCCATCAGCATTAGCGAGTCAGACGTGAACTCCCAGAACTATCATCTTTAAGCCAATTACCACTCGTCGATGTTAATGCTGTAAGCAACAAAGAATAGCTAGGAACACGCATAAAAGTTTCTGTCCAGGTAATTCAGTTTCCTGCATTTTGGTGTAATTGGATTTTCTCCTTCCAAATCTTTGGGATGGACTACTGCTCTCTCTCTGAAGTCAAATATCCCAGCTTACCTTATTTTTCTTTTCTATCTCTGATGCCAAAAGGGCTTAGTAAGTGCTCAATAACAGGGAAAGGGAAAGAAAAGGGAGAAAGAAAAGGAGGAAGAGAGGGAGGAAGGATCAATGTAGTAGATACAAGAAGGGTTAATGTTCTCTCTGATTTCCACTGAAGGCTCTTTGGTTTGCCTTCTAGATGATTCCTTATGCCCTCATGTGTCTGGTCTTTGCACTATCCCTGCAGAGGCCTTATACTTTCCCTCCAAATTGCTTGGCATACCCTCCTTCTCATCTCACCGTCCTCTCAATCTTGTCCCGCTGTCTTCCTTGTTCTCTATGCACAACCACATGGACCTTTTATGTGCCTATCCAGGCATTCACTAAGCATTTACTGTGTTCCAGGCAACGTTTTAGGCACCTGAGAAACAGCAATAAACAAAACAAAGTCCCAGATTTCACAGACTTTACATTCTAGCTGGGGACTGAAAGCAAACAAACAAATAGATGAATATAAAATATAAAGTCATGTTACGAATACCAGCAAGAAAAGTAAAGCAACGTATGGGGGAAGCAAGTGAAATGAAATGCTCCATTTGAGACATAATGAACAGGAGGCTTCTCTAGTGAGGAGATGTTGCAGCTGAGACCTGAAAGAAGGTCATACACATTGGGCTCCTGCTGCCTCAGGGCCTTGGCACGTGCTATTCCCTTTCTCTAGATCTTCTTTTAGTTTTAGTTTTTGTTTTTGTTTTTTTGTTTTTGTTTTTTTTACAGAGAGCAAGTAGGAGAAGGGGGAAGAGGGAGAGAGAATCTTAAGCAGACTCCACGCTCAGCACAGAGCCCAACATGGGGCTCGATCCCACAACCCTGGGATCAATTTTGACCTGAGCCAAAATCGAGAGTTGGATGCTCAACCGACTGAGCCACCCAGGTGCCCCCTCTTTAACTTTTTTAATCCTACTCTCTGAAATGACCTCTTTTTGCCATCTGCCTTCTCCTAGACTCAAACGTAGTTTTACAAAAGTAGGAACTTGTTCATTACTGTGTTCCCAGCTCAATAAATACTAGTTGAGTGAGTGAATGAACCAAGTTTCATTCACTCACTCAACCTCTGTATCCAGTGAAACTCCTCCTGACTCCTCATCCCTAGGAGCCTTCACTCCCTTAAACTTGTATCAGCCCAAGGGCCACCTGAACTGTTGGCCTGCTCAAGTTTACAGCTCTCCCCCTGGACTGCACACCCCTAAGGCTGGCAGCAGGCCCCAAATCTCATTTACCATCCCAGACCCTTAGCTCAGTGCTTCAGAAATAGGTATGGGTCAACTTCCTGAGAGCAGAAGTCTAAACCTTTAAATGACATCCACTAGTGACCCAAGAACTCCCTGCAGGGCAGAGTGAATCAGCAGAAGAGCTCGGTTCTATAGGCCAACCTAGGATCAGCTGAATACAAACCCATGTGCTACAGATCCATACCTTGACCACCCACCCGGTCAGAAAATAAAACATCATCTGACCCGAAGTTCACTGGGGGGCTTTAGACTGCTTCTGCTCCGGCTCATTAACTTAAAATAATAAGAACAAGCTCTGGAGCAAGGATTAATGTTTGCCTTGACCCGGCTGATTTATTTTTTCAGTGCTCCCGGCCCACACCTAATACATAAAACACACTGGAGGCGTAACCTGGGCAACCAGAGTGGACAATGCTTTTTCCATTAACGGGGACACCAGTTAGCACAGCTCCGTTAACGGAACTTGGTTGCGGCTGATTGTCAAATGTTAACAGCTCTTAAAGGTGTGCTTAGCAGTCCTGGCTTACTGCTTGGCAAAAACTAATGGTGGGAGGAAGGAGAGCAAGTTTCATGTTTTAACAGTAAGAAACACCCCTCCCCCCCAATTACTACTTTATTTTAAAAAGCCCAAACCAAGATTTTATGGGTTCCGTCCACTCTGGGGGCAATTTCAGATCACTGCCCTTAGATCAGCAGGGATAATGTTAAATTGCAGGGCAGTGAGGGTGTAGGGCAGAGAGAGAGAGGAGAGAAAAACTGAGAAATGAACTAGAGGCTAAGAAAATCCTAGTCTATCAGTAAAATGGCTATAACGAAGAAAACGTAGCAACACTAAAAAATACTATAATGATTCATGAAGTGACCAGAAAATACCACTGGATCTTTGCCTTGATTTTTGTTTTTTTATATATTTTTGAGAGAGATAGAGAGTGCGAGCAGGGGAAGGGCAGAGAAAGAGGGGGACAGAGGATCCAAAGCAGGCTCCATGCTGACAGCAGCAAGCTTGAAGCAGGACGCGAATTCACAAAACTATGACCTGAGCCGAAGTCTGATGCTCAACCGACTGAGCCACCCAGGCGCCCTGACCTTGATTATAATTATGTAAAGTATGCATAAACATGGCCAGCCACCCACAGGAGATTTGTTAGGGTGGTTAGGCCCAAGATGGGGATCATTTTTTATTTTTATTTATTTATTATTTTTGGGGGGGGATCATTTTTTAAACATTTCTTCTTTCACGTCCATATAATGTCATTACAATATTGTTATCCTTTTTAAGTAACTTTTTATTTCAAATTCTCAGAAAGCACAGATCATCTTCCCTAAATTATCACAAAGCCCTCATGCTTGAAGTGTTAGTAAGTATTGGTTTTAATCTTCCAGGATTTAGGGTTTTACAAGCTGTGCGATGTGGGGTAAATTTCTTTATCTGCCTAAGCTTCGGGTAGGGATTTAATAGCGCATAGTTTAAAAACTGTCCACGAACAAGCCGTTGACAAATTCGGTGTTTTCGATTCACTGGATCACAGAAGGGAGGGCTTCGAGACTCACCACTATGAACCACATGCCGTCCACAGGGACACTCACAGATCAAGCCACTGCCCAGGGTGTGTGGACAACAGAGACCCTGGCTCACTGGGCCCCATACAAGCTCTGTGACTTGGCTTGTTATGTTACCCGAGGCTCAATTTTCTCAGCTGTAGGATGGGACAAGGTTTAAAGGAGAAAACAGTGTATAAAGTCTGGGATAATGCTTACTTAGGAGGCAGTGTGTGTCCTATAAATGTGTCCTTCCCAACATTTGTGCCAAATATAATGAGTAATGACTTATTCTGTATTATATTATCGTTAAAATGTCGGGAGGAGGGGGCCCCTGGCTGGCTCAGTCGGTGGAGTGTGCGACTCTTGATGTCGGGGTTATGAGTTCCAGCCCCACCATGGGCATGGAGACTATTTTTGTTGTTGTTAAAGTTAAAAAAAAAAAAAACCCAAGATGTCAAGAAGAGGAAGTATTTTTTGGAAAAACTTACACAGTTGATTGTGGAACAACATGAGGGGGAAGAGCACTCACCCCCTGTGAAGTTGAACACCTACATACAACTTTTTTTTTTAAGTTTATTTATTTATTTTGAGAGAGACAGAGACAGCGCGAGTGGGGGAGGGGCAGAGAGAGGGAGACAGAGGATCCCAGGCAGACTCCGTACCTTCAGTGAAGAGCCCAATGAGGGGCTCAAATCCACAAAACCGTGAGATCATGACTCCAGCCGAAGCCAAGGGTCAGACGCTTAACCGACTGAGCCGCCCAGGCGCCCCTCTTACATATAATTCTTAACACCCCCAAAACATAATGACTCATAGCCTACTGTTGACCAGAAGCCTTACCAATAACATAAACAATTAACACACATTTATAAGTTCTATGTGTTTCATCTTATCTATTTTTTAATTAATTAATTTTTAAATTTTTAAATTTACATCCAAGTTAGTGAGCATATAGTGCAACAACGGTTTCAGGAGTAGATTCCTTAATGCCCTTTCCCCATTTAGCCCATCCCCTCCTCCCAAGTTCTATGTATTTTATACTGTATTCTTACCATAAAGCAAGTTAGAAAAAAGAAAATGTTATGGAGAAAATCATAAGGAAGAGAAAATATATTTACAGTTGTGCTGTACTTACTGGAAAAAAAGTGGAAAAAAGTCCACTGGAAGTGGACTCAGACAGTTAAAATCGGTGTTGTTTAAGGGACAACTGTACCTGTACCTAAAAAAGGAAGAGGCAACAGCCTCACGGTGCCAAGCCACTGGGATGGGTTTCCGAAAGCACCGGGTCTTTCTTTTTGCTTTCTTTTTCTTTTTGCTGCCAAACTCAGGCTATTCTACAGGTCATGAGACAAGGACTGGGCTGCCCCTGGGAAGGTCTACTTAAAAAAATTTTTTTTTACATTTATTTTATTTTTGAGAGGCAGAGAGAGTCAGAGCACAAGTGGGGGAGGGGCAGAGAGAGAAGGAGACACAGAATCCGAAGCAGGCTCCAGGCTCTGAGCTGTCAGCACAGAGCCAGACGCGGGGCTCGAACCCACACACCGTGAGATCATGACCTGAGCCGAAGTCGGATGCTCAACCGACTGAGCCACCCAGGTGCCGCTGGGAAGGTCTACTTTAAATTTTAGGCCTGTGGACTTTCTGTAAAGGGGTGAAATATGAGCCCTGAGGCTTTCAGTTATCAGTTCGTTTCTAAGCTTCCTGGGAAGAGCCAACGCTTGCTCAGCCGCAGCAG